AAAAAAAAAAAATCCGCCTCCAAGGCGATGATTGATTGGCTCACTCCAACCCAGGGTTGCCTAATGGTACCTTCCCATGGAGAAAAATGATTTTGTCCCGCGCGGACTCCCGCAGCACTTTTTTCACTCTAAAGCCGGAGAACGGTAAGCGCACAGGAGCGGAGGTACCATTCTCAACGCCCGCTTCCTTTGCCTCTGTGCTGGCAGCTTCCGCCTCCTCGGCGTCCAGTTCGCGCTTTCTCTTGCTGGGTTGAGTCGCTAGGTCCGCCATGCTTCCCGGTTGGAGCTGTGCGCCTGCGCAAACCCCAGCCGCGGCCCCGCCCTTCTCAGCGCAGAGGCCGCCGCAGCTTGTCTCTTCCGCGAGGGCGTGACGACTACAGCTCCCGAAGTGCTCCGCGAGGAAGCCGGCCGTGGTCCCGGCCCTAGGGAACCTCGGATCGCTGGTTCGTGTGATCTGTCTGCGAGGAGCGTTTTTAATTAAGGCTGCTGGCTTTTGTCTCCTCGCGCTGACCGGTCCGAGTTGAGCCTGGTGCTGAGAGAAGAGAAAGAAGACAGCGAGACCCTAACCAGGCCGGCTAATGATGCTGCAGAGGAGGGGGCACTCGCCGCCCCGGGTGCCAGAGCTAGAAAACACCCTTTGGACTCTGTGGGTGCTTTGACACCTGACACACCGTGGGTTGGATACTGACGTTTTTATTAAGAATTATGCCAACATTGCGTAGCGTGGAAGGAATGTTTCTGAAACAGAGCTGTTGAGCCAATCGTACTTCTTGGTCGATTTTCGATAGGAGAGCCATTAAACCATTTCCATTTTTCACCCATTTTCCACCCATTTTCATTTCACAGAAATTTTCATCTTACTCAGTGCTGAAAAGAAAGGTAAGTGAACAGGGCAGAAATGCATGTCCACCATCTTCTTTTCTACCAGGCTAGGGGCTTCTGCCTCCTGTGTTACCTAGTTTGCCCGTAAGTCTGCTATGCTATTCTAGAGATGTGATTTGCAGCTAGAATATGAATCATCTATCAGAATTTCTTTTCTTTACTTTTTTTTTGCCATATAAAATTTTCACTTATAATTTCTCCCTTTTTAAATTTTTTTTAATGTTTATTTGTTTTTGAGACAGAGCGCGTGCACAAGCTGGGGAGGGGCAGAGAAGAGAGGGAGACACAGAATCCCAAGCAGGCTCCAGGCTCTGAGCTGTCAGCACAGAACCCCACGCGGGGCTCGAACTCACAGACCAAGAGATCATGACCTGAGCGGAAGTCGGTTGCTTAACCAACGGAACCATCCATTTCTCCCTTTTAAGTTTCCTTTGTAGCTGTTATTTCTGGCTGGTCCATTTGACGGATTAGATAATTTGACAGAAATTTTATCAAATAGTCCATCAAAAATTGTGCTATTTTCGTTAATGTCAGTTTTATTTTGAGGTTTTGTTTTTTTTTTTTTTTCAGAGAAATCTAATGGGGGAGGCAATTTTTGCAATTTCCAATCAGTCAATAACAGTATACTGTATGTCAGTGACAGTTTGGTTTGGGGTTATTTCTACCAGAAATACTATTATGAGTGGGAGAAAAGTCTAATTGTTCTGTGAAGTAGAGACCATTAGTAAGGGAGTCTTAGGATCTGGAATAATTATCTTCAACCAAAAACATATGCTGCTTGTCCACAAGTTTCCTGGATAACATCCCCACCTTCTCGGAATATAAAACCAGAAGTCATAAACTGTGTGCAAGACCAGAGCAAAAGAAGGTCAGCTATGTTTTAACAAAAAGAGCCCTGAATTGGGAGCCATGAAGTCTGGCTCCAGCACTAACCAGCTGTGCGACTTTGTGAAAGTCACTTACCCTCTCTAGGCTTCCATTTTCTGTGTGCCAGACACTGTGTATCTTGAACAAGACAGGGGAGATCTCTACTTTCATAGAATTCATATTCAAATGGAGATGAGGTAAACAAATATGATAATTGTAGGTGATTGAGTGTTATTTATAGAATAAAACAGGACAATGTGATAGAGCCTGGGGATAGGGAGGAGATAAGTTGTTCAGGGGTGGCTTCTTAGGAGGTGACATTGAGCTGAGACTGGAATGATGAGAAGGAACCAGCCATGTGAAGTGACCAGGGAAAGTGTATTTCAGGAAGAGATGTCAGATGCTGAAGACCCTAAAGCAGTAATGAACTTGACATTTTTTTGGAAACAAATATGACTCTTGTGGCTGGAATGTAGTGAGCAAAGAAGATTATATATATATAT